CAGGTGAGACGGACAGGTTTTTGTGTTACACATGCAGCTGAAGAGGCAAGCAGCGGGGGAGTGGGGGAAGGTGAGCTCGCAGGGGAGGGGTGGCTGAGGAGGCAAGCAGGGGGGCAGTGGTGGGGGGCAATTGGGAGAGAGGTTTTTCTGTTGCATGTGCAGCTGAAGAGGCAAGCAGCAGGGGAGGGTGGGGAAGGAGGGTTTGTTTCCGTGGTGTGGGCGGCACTGGGGCGGGGGATGTTTGGGGGGGTGTAGCAGGGTGGTTACCCTGCTCCTGCCCTGAAGGGCTTAAAACCTCCCTGGGGGAGGGCTGTGGCAGGGGAAAAGCTGAGCTGATTGGGGAAGCTGCTGCAGCTGGGCCATGCCCCAATCAGGCCCCAACTGGCCTGTATAAAAAGGCTGTGAGCCAGAGGCCCACATGAAGTCTCCCTCGGATTCTGGAGAAAAAAGGGCCTCTCTGCTAGGGAGCTGAGCAGGGTACTGGGAGTGGAGCAGGGCTGGGGAAGGCTAGAGGAGCTGGGGAGCTCCAGCCTGGAAAACCCCCAAGCTGCCGCCCTAGCTAAGGGCCTAAGACCAGTACCAGGGCTGCAGAGGGGCAGCCCAGCTACAGAGAGAGGCAGCAGGTCCAAACGCAACCTTGCCTGTGATGAGTGGCTTATACTGCAGTCTGCCCCAGGGCACAGGGGCTAGTTGCTGACTGGCAGTAGCCTTATACTGAGGTGAGGTGGGGAGAGGGTTGGGGGTTCCCCAGAGAGGGGAGACCTAGAGCCAGAGTGTGGGGGTATTGCCAGGGGGCAGCACGCCAGATCAAAGGGCACTGGGGTCTGGGAGGAATACGGGGCCAGCGGCAGCAGGACACTGTCCTGCAGAGGGCACTCCAACGGCTGGATGAGCTAATTCCCAAGAAGACCAGCAGGAGGCACCGCCTTACACGAGTGCTGGGGGGGGGTGTTTCGGCGGGGCTGGGGGCAGGGTTTCAGCGGGGCTGGGGGGTTTCGGCCCTCGGCTATTTTCTTTGGAGTAATATGGCCCTCGCCGCTTTACGAGTTGTGCAGGCCTGATTGGGAGTGCCAAGACCTCCAGCCTGTGCTGGGCGGGGACAGCACTGTGGTGCCAGGCCCACTGGGAACCTTCCCCTCACAGCCTGACAAGCTGGGGTGTAGTGGGGCTGTAGAGAGGGCAGAGCAGGGGGCAGGAGATTGCCCAGCACTCACTCCTTCCTGGCTGCCATATGGCAGCTCGACCCACTAAGTGCTCACAACAACATGGTACAACCTCCTCCCATGGCCATGGTTTCCACAGCCAATGGCCCCGCATAGAGCACCGGGGCCAATCCAAGGGTCACTCCCTTGGCTGAGAATTGTAACAAAGGCTCCATGCACAGGAGGGCTTGGAAAAGACCCATTTTTATTTCCTATCCCCGGTCTCCTACCCAGGGTCAGGGGGGAAAAAAAAACCCATCGTTGAGGTTAGTATCCACTGTATTCAGTGATAAGGAAGTTACACTCTTTCAAAGAGTTTCCCCCACAAGGAGGGTCCCTCCTCCCTTTTATTTTGAGAGACTAAATAGAGGGACAATTTCTAGTTTTTAAATATCTAGGTTTCCCATTCCCTTCTACATAAGAAAATTGCTGTTTCAGCTCTAGTTTGATCTCCCCCCCCCTCCCCCCATAGTTAGTCATGGCCCTTGATTCTCCCACTGGTAAATACACAGCCTGGATTGTCTCACAAAAAGTGGCCAGGAAGGGATCTTGAGAAGTCATCAGTCCAGCCCCCGATGCTGAGGCAGGAGTCCCAGGACCAAGTACGTTTAGAACATCCGCAGGTGTGTGTCTAACCTGTACTTAAATTTTTTCAGTTACAGGGGTTCTATAGCCTCCATTGAAAGCCTATTTCAGTGCTTAACTACCATGATAGTGACAAAGGGCATGGCTTCACTGGCAACATTAAAGTGCTGCCGTGGCAGTGCTTTAACATGGCATGTGCAGTTGCAGCACATGCTCTTCAAAAACAAACAAACAAACAAAACACACATACACCTCCGCGAGCACGGCTCCCAGTGCTGGTGCACTGTCTACAGTGGCACTTTATAGCAAGTTTGAGCACTGAGGGGGGTGTTTTTTCACACCCCTGAGTGAGAAAGTTGCAGGACCAGTATAGACAAGCCTTAAGTGTTTCCTAATATCAAACCCATAGTATACTTAATTTCTGGAGACTGGATGGCTGAAGGAATTGTTGATAGGATAAGGAAGATTAGTTCTCTGCTTCAAATCCATCTTGAATTAGCAGTAACTGAAAATTATCACCTCCTGATGGATGTGTGCAAAAAAAAGTTTGACTGTTTCTGGCCAATTTTCTAGCAGATAAGAATCCACGTAGCAAGAACTGTGGTCCATCATCATAGTTGGCAATCTTGGCAAAGAAGCTAAGGACTAAAATAGGCACGGAGACTCGGTTATTAATATTGATATAACATGCAGAAGCCCCAGTTAAGGTTGAAACACAATGGTGGAAGTATTGCAGGGCAACTTATACTGCCACTGCTCATGCTGTACCTATCCTGAACACAGGAAACAATAAAACTGATACACAGTTATAAGTACTTCCAAGTTACATGCTATTGGAACTAGGTGCCTCCTATAAGGAGCTCAGACACCGGACTATCTGACTGAAGTAAAGCTTCAGAAAAGCAACATGGTAAATTTAAAAAAAAAAAAAAAATTGCAATGTGTATAACTTTGTTAGAATCATAGAGTTAGAAGGGGCTGCAAGGGTCATCTAGTCTAACCCCCTGCCAAGATGCAGGATATGTTGTGTTTAAACCATCCAAGACAGGTGGCTGTCCAGCCTCCTTTTGAAAACCTCCAGTGAAGGAGATTCCACAACTTCCCTAGGCAGTTTGTTCCATTGCCCTGCTGTTCTTACAGGTAGGAAGTTTTTCCTGAGATTTAATCTAAATCTGCTATGCTGTAAATTGAACCCATTACCTCTTATCTTGCCTTCAGCGGCAAGAGAGAACCATTTTTCTCCATCTTTTTTTATGGCAGCCTTTCACGTATTTGAAGACCGCTATCCTGTGGCTATCTCCAAGAT